CCTGTCCTCTAGCTCCTAGCCAAGCACCGACTTAATCTCCAACCTACCTCTTGGCCTCTGACCTACCCTTCGATCTATACCCTGATCTTGGTGCAAGTTTCCTCTAATCCACCAGACAAGGGCCTGGCCCATTCCTGGACGTGACCTCTGGCCTCTGACCCTTTCTCTCAAAGATCTCTCTGGGTGTTTTTGGAAGTCCTGGAAACCAAGCCTGTCTCCTTAGACCTACCTCTGTGTCCTCTGACCCCAGGTGCTGCTACTCGGCGGCTTGTGAAGGTGTCGTCTATAAGCACTGAGTCCTCTGATGACTTTGAGGAACGAGACCCTGGTAAGGCTGACCTAGGTGGGCAGGTGAGCTTACAGGGACAAGAGGGTGGCCCTGACAGCCCTGACTCCCTCCTTGCAGATCTGGGGGATGGGATGGAGAATGGACTAGGCAGCCCCTTCAGGAAGTGGACACTGTCCACAGCTGCTCAGACCCACCGGCTACGGCGGCTGCGTGGTCCAGCCAAGTGCAGAGAATGTGAAGCCTTCATGGTCAGCGGGACAGAGTGTGAAGAGGTGTGACCTCGACTGCAGACCTAATGACCTCTGCTGACTTTCACCAGACACACTGACCCAGATCCCTGCAGCCCTGCTCTAGGACCTGCCTTTGTCTGATGTCCTATCTCAGGCTCAATGTTTGTTTTTTGTCATGTGTGTGTGAGTATGTGTGAGTGTGTGTGTGAGTGTGTGAGTGTGTGTGCATGAGTGCCATGGTGTGGGGGTGATAGGGGATACTTTAAAGGAGCCATCTCTTTGCTTCCTGCTTGTGAGTCCTGAAGATGGTCATCGGGTTTGGCCGTGAGCACTTTACCTACTTTCACTGGTCAGGTCGAGCATCTCTTACCATTCTCCACTCCCTGGCTTTCCTGATAACCTCCTCATCCCCTGCTACCTTCCTAATAGCCATCTTGCCCCCAGCTGAACTCCTAACCCTGTGACATTCCTCCCCCCCCCCCCCCCCCAGTGCTTTTTGACCTGTCACAAGCGCTGTCTGGAGACCCTCCTCATCCTTTGTGGACACCGACGGCTTCCAGCCCGGATGCCTCTCTTTGGAGTTGACTTCCTACAACTCCCCAGAGACTTCCCTGAGGAGGTGCCCTTTGTGGTTACCCGGTGCACAGCTGAGATAGAACATCGCGCCCTGGGCCTGCAGGGTATCTATCGGGTCAGTGGGTCTCGAGTGCGTGTGGAACGACTGTGCCAGGCCTTTGAGAATGGCCGAGTGCTGGTTGAACTGTCGGGAAACTCTCCTCATGATATCACCAGTGTCCTCAAGCGATTTCTTCAAGAGGTAGGTGGCTCTAGGCTGAGGTGGTGGGCAAGAATCATGCAGCCTCTGGCTCAGGACCCTTGGCAGCCCATCCCCACTCCTGTCCCCACCAGCTCACTGATCCCGTGGTCCCCTTCCACCTCTACGACGCCTTCATCTCTCTGGCAAAGACCCTGCATGCAGACCCCGGGGACGACCCTGGAACCCCCAGCCCCAGCCCTGAGATTATCCGCTCGCTGAGGACCCTCTTGGTGCAGCTGCCTCCCTCTAACTACAGCACTGTGCGGCACCTGGTAGCCCATCTGTTCAGGTGTGCATGGGTCCCTAGGCTTTGAATCATAGCCCTCTTTCCCTAGAAACATAACTGCTTACCTGTGTGGCTCATATTAACCTCTGACCTTTCATATTTCTTCTGAGCTCAGAGCCCTGGACACACACACCTGACCCTGACACCGTCTCAGTGACCAGACATTACTTTTCTGTGGCCTGGCCAAGTCACCAGGCTAGCTCACAGGTCCAACCAGTCTCCTCCCACTTCATGTCACCAGGCTAGCTCACAGGTCTGACCAGTCTCCTCCAACTTCATGGTTGACCCTTCTCCCCACCATTTGCAGGGTGGCTGCTCGTTTTGAAGAAAACAAGATGTCTGCCAACAACTTGGGAATTGTATTTGGGCCTACGCTGCTGCGGCCACCAGATGGACCCAGGGCCCCCGGAGTCAGCCCTGTGGCCTGTCTGCTGGACTCTAGTCACCAGGCTCAGCTTGTTGAATTCCTCATTGTGCACTATGAGCAGATCTTTGGAATGGATGAGCTCCCTCTGGCCTCTGAGCCCCTGACCCAAGATCCTGGCCTGGCTCCCACACTCCTCGAATCCAGTCCTCAGCACCCAGCCCCACTTCTTGCCCAAGACATACAACCCCTGACCATAGCCTCAGACTGCAGCCCAGATCCCAAACTCCACAGTGCCCCGGAGAAGTGTCTGGAGGTCACACCTTCTGAGGTAGAAGTCTGCTTATTCCACAGATGTGGGGATGGCCTTGTCTGTGTTTAATACCCCCCTTCTTTTGCACAACTCGACATTGAATCCAGTGCCTGGTGTGCGTTAAATGTGTGCTTATCACTAAGTCCTCCTAGCTCTGTTTAATTTTGTTTGCATTTTTCAAAAGCATTTGTTTGTTTGTTTGTTGAGTGAATAGCCACACACATGTCATGGCATGAGCATGAAGCCAGAGGACAGCCTATCCTTCATGGGACCTGGGGATGGAATTCTTCAGGTTCAAGTACTGTAACATCTCTCCAGCCCAAATTGCTTTTGTTACATTTTTAATTAATTAATTTATGTATTGAGGGGTGTCACATGGAAGTCAGAGAAAAAGTCAGTTCTCTTCTAGCATGGAGGTCCTGGAAATGGAAACTGCTAAGCTTGGTGACAGAGGCCTTTTCATCCTTAACATCCTTTTAGTGTTTATTTTGTGGCAGAGTCTCCTTATAATGCCAGATTGTCCTTGAACTCACACTGTAAGCCAGTTTAATGGCCCTCCTGCCTAGGCCTAAGAGTAGTAGCTGAGAAGCTGAGATGACACACTGTTATATATATCACACACACACACACATGCACATTGGTGGGGTTTTTTCCCAGGATGTATGTCTGTAAGGATGTCAGGTCCCCTGGAACTGGAGTCACAGACAGTTTTGAGCTATCACGTAGGTGCTGGATATTGAACCTGGATTCTCTGGGAAAGCAGCCAATGCTCTAACCTCTGAGCTCTCTCCAGCCCCGGCACACTTGCCTTTATATTGTATTGTTTTGTTTGATTTTGAGATAGGGTCGTTCTCTGTGATCTTCCTGCCTTAGTGCTTGGAGTGCATGACATAGGAATAGGAAGAAAGAGGCATGAGCAAGTCTGGGGAAAACGTACAGGCAGTGGGACCAGCTGGGAAAAGGCCTTGGGGTCTTGAGGTGGGAGCGTGCGTGCTATGTGCAGTCCTGGATTGTAAAGAGTGGGTAAGGGAAACAAGAATAGAGCAAGGACCAGGTTGCAAATGAATCTCGGTGACAAAGTGATCGTCTAGCATGTGTAGGTTTTGGATTCGGATCCCAGCACTAGAAAAGAAGGTTAGTCAGACGGCTCTGTTAGCTGCCGAGCACAGGCTGTGAGTGACAGATGAGAACTGGCTATGGACAGTGTACATTGAGACAGGGTCACTCACTGAACTTGCAGCGTGCTATTTCAGCTCCCAGGACACCTGTCTCCACCCCATAATATACTAGTTACAAGCACTTCCAGTCATGCCTGGCTTTTTACAAAGATGCCAGAAATTCAAACCTGGCTCCTCATGTGTGCACAGCAAATCCTCTGATGCACTGAGCCACCCCCACAAAACCCCAAACAGGGCTTTACTGTTAGGAGTCACATTCTGGGTTTCTTCCTGCAGATTGCAACTCTGCAGAGGGACCAAAGGGAGGAGAAGGAGGTGGAAAACACCAGAGATGGGGCAGGGGAAGGTGAGTGTCCTGGAGAGCTCTCTCTTTCCCTTAGGGTTGCTTGGCTGACCGGTCACTCCTGGAGGTACATCCTGAGAACTTGGGGATGCTTAGCATTCATCTTTTCACAGGGTCCGGCCACAACCCTGAGGACTTGCTCCTGGGAACACAATCCCGGGGCCACTTCAGTCGCCAGCCAGTGAAGTATTCACGGGGAGGTGTACGGCCAGTCACTCATCAACTGTCCAGCTTGGCTCTGGTAGCTTCCAAACTGTGTGAGGAGACTCCTGTTACTGTTTCAACAGTGCACCGAGGTAGTTTGAGGGGACGAAGCCTGGGCCCTGCTGCTGCCTCCCCTGAAGGCAGTCCCCTGCGCCGAAACCCTCTGCCCAAGCACTTTGAGATCACCCAGGAGACAGCCCGGCTACTCTCCAAGCTGGACACTGAGGCTATGTCCAGTGCTACCTGCTGTGCTGACACTGAGCCTGAGGGGTCTGAGGAACATCTCTGACCACCCACCATCCCAGGAGACTCAGGACTGAGCTGATGACCCCATATGTCTCTCTTCTTGCCCCACCTGGTAACCAGACCAATTTAGTGGGGTGTGGGGAGAGACAGGTTACCAGAGAGTTGGGTAAGGAAGACCACCCATCTTGGGAAGTCCTCACCATCTCCCTGCCAGAGGAGGTTAAAACGGCCAGACAACACAGGTGCACAGGCAAATCAGGATCAATGACTCAGTTGAATCAGTATTCAATGGTCAGTACAGGTCCGAAGATCCTTGGGTTACCCCAGTCACAGCTGTCTGACTACTCTGATCATAAGAGCTCCTGGTTCTACCTGAGTAGGTGGGTGTGGTTTAGCCCTCACCTGCTTTTATATCTTCCTGGGTTTGGTTTGTTTGTTTGTTTGTTTTGAGATGGGCTCTATTGTAGCTCTGGCTGATCTGGAACTCCCTATGTAAACCAGGTTGTCATAGAACTCACAGAAATTCCCTCCTTTTAAGTGCTGGCCAAATCTGGATTCTTATAACCTCTGAATAAAGCCATGTCCTGATTGAATACAACGGTGCTAATGGTGCTTGCTGCAAAGCCTGACCCACTTGGTAGTAGGAGAGAACCAATTATTGCAAATTATCTGCCCTCTGCCCATAAACATGTACATACACAAATAAAATTACATTTTAATTTTAAAAAAAGTCTGCCAAGCAGTGGTGGCACAAGCCTTTAGTCCCAGCACTCAGGAAGCAGAGGCAGGCAGATCTCTGAGTTGGAGACCAGCATGGTCTGTAGAGTTAGTTCTAGGACAGCCTGTTTTTAAAAAGGTAAAAAACAATCCTGTGATGTTCTTACACATCTGTCTTTGCCAGGGAAGGCTGACAAAGAAAAGGGCACCAGTAAGAGCAGCTTCTTTTACCCCTTTATTACTGACCTGATGAACCAAGACTTCTCAAAACCACCCTGCGAAACCCCACAGGCAATTAGCGCAGGGCCTGGAGCTCCAGATGAGTCACTAAGGCCCTGCCAGAGCTCTGTGTCCCTGATCCGGTTCTACATAATCAAATACAATCCGGTTGTAGATAATTGGGACAATGGGGCTGTGTGCTGCGGACAGGGGAGGCCAGGGGAGGAGGCTGCAGGTCAGAGCCAGCACAGGCTGAGGGGAGACCACGGAAGTCAGGTTGGCGCACAGGGCGTGTGCTGATGGCGCGCCTTCAGTGGGGCGGGGGTCCAGCAGCGAGCTTGACCACGGCAGGGTGAAGTGAGGCGGGGCTTGCAGCTCGGTACAGGATTGGACAGGATGGGGGGGGCGCCCCAGAGGCCTCAGCTGCGGGTCTTTCCAGCTGCCAGGTGACTCAACCTCAAAGGCGCGAAAGGGCAAACACGTGAGGTGTGCGGAGGATGGAGTGAAAGGGGTGTCCCACGTGGGAAAACGGGGCTGTGGGGAGGAGGTGGGACTACTGCAGTTTTTCAGCACACCATTCTTTCGACGTGGGGGTGGTACGCTCCAGGGGGCGGGACACTCCCCCAGGGCCCAAGAGCTGGGGAAGGTAGGGACCTTGGGCCCCGCCTCTCCTGCCTGCTCGGCCTCGGGCTTCTAAGCACACCGGACGCGGCAGCTGCGCAACCGCCCCATCGCAGGGTCATGGATCTCAGTCCCACCTCGACACCCCACGAGCCTGCCCCGTCTGCCGCTTGACTGGAAGCCCAGGTAAGACCAGTACCAACCGGACCAGGGTGGGTGCAGGCTTCCGGGAGAGTGAGGCGTACCCCTTCTTCTCCACAGCCATTCCTCTAGTCCAGGGTCGTCTGCAAAACACCTTCTTTTGTCCCGGAGGCCTCTCGGCCTTCCGTCCCACCCCGGAATGGCCTGGTTCCAGAGCTCTTGCGCGGAATCCTGCCCATAACTCAACTTCTGGTGCAGTCTCTCTGTCTCCTCTGCTCACTCTGTCACCTCTGCGCCTTGGCACTGCCCTCCGGGTGCTGACTAGGAACCTTGCTCTGGCGTGCACACGCCCCCTGGCCTCTGCACTGTGCGAGGACCCTGGCACCAGTGTGATCTTCAGGCTGCCCCAGCCAACCCTCCCACACCGGTGACTCGGAAACTGCAGATGTCCAATCTGGTCGCAGATTGGTGGCAGGAGGCCCCGAATTACAATGTAGATAGATCACAATGCTTCTTCAGATTTTAAAAAAAGCAAAAACAAACAAACAAACCCTACCTATCAGACAGAGATCCTTTTAAAAATTGTGGCAACATTCAGCAGAAGCGAATGGGTCTCTTGATTTTGAGGCCAGCCTGGTCTCCCAGGGTGGGATGTGCAGTGAGACTCTGCTTTCTGAGTAGATAAACAGAGCTTGTGTTATTTAGGTCACTCTGGCTCTTACCACAGACACCTTGCTCAGAGGGCCTCTGAGTCTGTGGGTTGTCTTTGGCCACTGCCTGTTGATGCCTCCTCCACCAGGGGCCACCTGCACTGACCTCTCTCTTTCCATATCCACAGGTGCTCATGATGGGTCAGTGCTACTACAATGAGACCATCGGCTTTTTCTATAATAACAGTGGCAAGGAGCTCAGCCTTCATTGGCGCCCCAAGGATGTGGTAGTGGTGGCTCTGGGGCTGACAGTCAGTGTACTGGTGTTGCTCACCAATCTGCTGGTTATTGCGGCCATTGCCTCCAACCGGCGCTTCCACCAGCCCATATACTACCTGCTCGGCAACTTGGCTGCTGCTGACCTCTTCGCCGGCATGGCCTACCTCTTTCTCATGTTCCATACTGGCCCACGAACTGCCCGGCTCTCCATCAGAGGCTGGTTCCTGCGACAGGGTCTGCTGGACACCAGCTTGACGGCATCAGTGGCCACACTGCTGGCCATCGCTGTAGAACGGCACCGCAGTGTGATGGCCGTTCAGCTACACAGCCGCCTACCCCGGGCCCGTGTGGTCACACTTATCGTGGGTGTGTGGGTGGCTGCACTGGGCCTGGGGTTGCTACCTGCACACTTCTGGCACTGCCTCTGTGACTTGAATAGTTGTTCACGAATGGTGCCCCTGTTCAGCCGCTCTTACCTGGCTGTGTGGGCCCTGTCCAGCCTTCTGGTCTTCCTGCTTATGGCAGCTGTCTACACACGCATTTTCTTCTATGTGCGTAGACGGGTAGAGCGCATGGCAGAGCACGTCAGCTGCCATCCTCGCTACCGAGAGACGACGCTCAGCCTAGTCAAGACTGTTGTCATCATCTTGGGTAAGGTGCTCGGACAGCAGCTTCAGGGATCTAGCCTCCGCATGGCCTTGGGAAACTGAGGAAATGACCTGATATTGCAGGCAGGGAGGGGGCATTCTCCAGGGAGGTGGTATCCTCCATGCAGGGGAAAGGAAAAGATGAAACCCCATGGCAGAACCAGGCAGAGCCTCCAAAGAGGAAAGATGACCCTTCAGCTAGCCTGCACAGAGGAGGACAAGCCAACCTCCAGTTTTCATGTTCCCAAGGAAATCGTTTAAAGGTCCTGTTTGTTTTACTGTGTTTGAGGCAATCTCATGTGGCTCAGGCTGGCTTCAAATGATATAGGAATAGAAGATGATCTTGAACTTGTGTTTCTCTTGTGTGTCTTCATCTCCCAGATGGTAGGGTGGACTCCACACCTGATTTCAAGTACCACCAACTGATAGGTATCCTCAGCCCTGTTTTTGTGTTTGTTTGTTTGTTTGTTTTTAAGGCGGGGTCTCACAAAGTACCCTTCCCTGTCCTGGAATTCACTGTATAGACCAGGCTGGCCTCGAGCTCACAGACTCTGCCTGCCTCTGTCTCCCGAGTGCTGGGAATGAACCACTCATTTTGTTTTGTTTTAGATTTATTTTTATTTGTGTATGTGTGTATATGTGGCTATGAGATTGTGTCTGGGCTCATTCACTTGTGTGCAGGTGCACGTGGAGGCACTTGGAGCTGAAATTGCAGGCAGTTTGAACTGCCTGAAGTCGCTGTTGGGAACTGGATTGAGGTACCTGCTCTTACCCATTGAGCCATGTCTCTCCAGCCCTGGTTGTTGTTTCTGCTTATTTATTAATTTGGTTTTCTTTTGAAATAGGGTCTTACTGTGTAGACTTGGCTAACCTGGAGCTCACTATGTAGACCAGGCTGGCCTTGAATTCATAGAGAGCCACCTACCTGCCTCTGCTTTCCGAATACTGAGATCAGAGGCATGCACCACTACACCTGGCTCATGGTTTAGGTTTTTGTTTTTTGAGGCAGGGTCTCTCTACATAGCCATGGTATCCTGGAACTCACTCTTAAACCAGGCTGGCCTCAAACTCACAGAGATCATAGGTGGCTGCCTCTGCCCCCCAGTGCTGAGATTAAAGGCCTGCGCCACGATGGCCCAGCTTGGTTACTTTTTTAATGCAGGGTTTCATGAAGTCCGGGTTTTAACTAAGGCAGACAGGCCTTGAAGCACTGACGTTCCTGCCTCTCTTTCCCTGAGTAGATGAGTGTATGCCCTTACACCTGGCTCCCCTTGGGAGTTTATTCTTTTTGGGGGGCTAGAAAATTACTTGGTGAGTAAGAACACTTCCTGTTCTTCCCAGGACCCATGTTCAATTCCTAATACCCTCATTAGGCAGCCTATAACCATCTGTAACTCCAAGGGATCTGATGCCCTATTCTAGCCTCCAGACATCACCCACATGCATGTGGCTTACACTCATACACGTGTACACACACATGTAAATAATTTTTTAAAAATTTATTTTGTGCATGTGTGCACAGATGTGTATATAATGCACTTTAGTTCATCTGTAGAGGTCTGAGGACAATGTCTGGGGATTAGTTTTCTCCTTACTCCACATGGGCCCTGGGATTTGATTTGGGTCCTCAGTCTTAGCAATAAGTCCCTCTTTGGGGCTTTTAGTATAGAAGGAAATCTATTTCTGGTTGAGGACTGATTCTTTCCAGTGATTCCTGGCCCACTACTCTGTAACCAGCCTGTCTCATTCTTTAGTGAACAAATCTCCTATAGAAGGTAGAAGGGCCATGGGCTCCTTGTTCCAGTTCGGACAGGTGTTCCTCTGACAGGCAAATTGGAGAAAGGTGTCTATCCCCTCCTGGCAGTTCTGCCCCTATAGGGAGCTTGTGTGGTATGTGCCACACAGTTGGTCACTGCTTTAGCACAGGGATGGTTCAGACAAGTTTCCTGGTGGCCCACCATTGTCAACCTCCACCCCTCACTCCCAGTCTCTGTCCTGCAGGGGCATTTGTGGTGTGCTGGACGCCAGGCCAAGTGGTGCTGCTCCTGGACGGTCTGGACTGTAAATCCTGCAATGTCTTGGTTGTGGAGAAGTACTTCCTGCTCCTGGCTGAGGCCAACTCACTGGTCAATGCAGTGGTGTACTCCTGCCGAGATGCTGAGATGCGCCGGACCTTTCGCCACCTCCTCTGCTGCGTGTTCCTCCGCTGGTCCAACCACAAATCGTCCCGATACTCATCTTCTACCCAGACGGGTGCCAGCACCCGGATCATGCTTCCTGAGAATGGCTGCCCACCGGTGGACTCCACCCTTTAGCTTCTTTGGACTGAGGCAGAAGATGGGGCAGCAAAAGTATCACCCCACAGCCTCTAGCAGTTTCCTGACTCAGTCCAGCCCAGCAGATGCATGGCTTTCAATACTCCCCAGGCCGCAGATCTGCCTGCCTCAGAACACAGGGATTTGGGGTCATCTCTGTGCACCTGGGAGATCATCTGTTGGACTCAAGCGTCCAAACACCAAGAAGGAGTCACCCCCAGAGACCATCTCACACACCACAGCTGATGTAAAAGCATGAGGATTTTATTAATTCTGTCATGACAGGGTCCCCCAGCATTCGGGAAGCTGAGAGACCTCAAATAACTGGTATAGTCTATTTTTAAAGGGGCCACAGAAGCAAGGGGGGGTTGTTCTTTGACTATTCTGATTGGCTTATTTGAAAGGGCTATTACCAATAATTGACTGGGGAGCTGTTGCCAGATCAGATGAGGTAAGAGGTCATTTTGACCCCGTTTCCCAGGGGACCAAACCAAAGCATACGTATATGGGTAATTGTTCAGGAACTGAGTACGTGCGAGTGTAGCTGTTAGGTCCTTGATTCCCAGGGGAGGAGGGGAAGCACTATGGCACAGAGGCTGAGAGGATTCAGAATGGTCAAAAATGGCTTCAGGATCGTCTTAAAGTCTGACACATCCAAAGGGGCTTGGCAGTCTGGCTCTCAAACATCTCAGGTTTCACTTATTTTTGTTTTAAACACGTTTTGTATTTTTTTCTGTATATCTCTGATATGTCCTGTGGACTGTTTCTTCCTACATGGTGCTGTCGGTGTTCAGGGTAGAAGAGGCGAGAGCTGTCCTAGGTTACACCACCCACTGATGCAGGCTAGACTATAGGTATGCTGTCTTTCTGAGGCCAGTTTGGTTTTGGTTTTTTGAAACTGGATCTTGGGTAACCTAGGCTGGCCTTGAACTCATTGTGTAGCTGAGGATGGCCTTGATCCTTCTGACTTCACCTCCCAAGCGCTGGTAATTGAAGCTGATTCCTTGGGAGTTTTGAGCAGTCTCTAAGGGCTCACCTGCCTCCATTAATGTGGAGGAAGTACGTGATACAGGGCGTGCTTTTCCACTCTAAGGTTGCCAAGGTCATTCAAACAATCTATCCCTGTGTCCTGGAATTATCTATCTATCATGGCACAGAGTTGGTGAAAATCCTTTAACATGGAATCCCTTGGCCCCATCTCATTCCTATTCTGTGCCCCCCACCTTTTTTTTTTTTTTTTTTTGAGGCAGAGAATTGTGTGGCCTAGGCCTTATGTTGCTGCATCCATCTTGCCTCTGAATCCTATGTGCTGGGATTAGAGCTATACTACCTGGCTTCTGCCTCTTTCTGGAGTCTCACTTATGTTTCCTTCCGCCGATGCCCTTCTACTGTCCCCCTTTTCAAGAACCTCGAGCGATTTCTGGCTTGTGTAAGCCTTTTCTTTCTACCTGCCTCCCCCCACCCATTATTTTATTTTATCTTCTAAGACACAGGATCTCACAACATACCTCAAGCCATCTAACTCACTGTGTAGCTCAGACTAACTTCTAACTCTCAGCTGTCTTCCCGCCTTGACTTCCTGAGTGCTTGAATGACAAGCCTAAGACACCATGTCTGACTACACAGCTTGGAAATGACACAGACATGCCAGGAGGAAGGGGCTTCAGTGTCCCTAGGAACCTGAAATGAAGTTTCTGGAACTTTGTACTCCTCAGGCCTGAGATGAGCCCTTTCCCGCCCCACCTCAGCAGAGGAGCAGGAGTAGTGTTCTCATTTCGATTCAGATGCCGAGCAACAGCAGGAATGTGGACCTCTGTCTTATCTGAGGCCAAATTCTTAAGGCATTAAAGCATCTGTTCCCAGAGAACTGGAAATGATGCTGTCTCTACAGTGTTCTCCATTTTCCCACAACTGGGGCCTGGCACATATTAGGCTGGTTCCCACCACACAGCTCTGTCACAGGAGCCATCTCCAAAGAGCAAATGCCCATTCCTACCTCTGTGAAGACACAAGACTGAACTGTGGGGCTAGATAGTTCTTGATCCTATGTGGGCAGTGTGTACCTACAGCCTGAGTCTCCCAAGGTGACAACCCAGGAACTGCCAGCTGACCATTAAGGACTCTGTCCCTACTCCCATGGACCTCCAGACCTGTTGGACCTTGTCACTTTGCGTATTGAGGCACCCAATCAAATGCTGAATCGGGGACCCTCTGATGGACTCCAGAGGTCAGTTGTCTCACCTGGACTTAGGTCTGTCCTACATCATCATCGTCCAGATTCTGTTGACAGATTTGTCTTGTCAGCTTTTTATTTCCTTTTTCCACTTATGTTACAGTTTTTGTTTTCTTTTTTGACACAAGGATTTCTATGTAGCCCTGGCTGTCCTGGAACTCGGTCTATAGACCAGGCTGGCCTCGAACTCTGTAAGCTGGGATTAGAGAGTGCCTAGCTGTATGCATATTTTTATACAAATGTGGGCATTCTCATACCTTTTGGTGCATGTGGAAGCTAGAGGTTAGTGTCAAGACTCATCACTGGGAGCTCTGCCCTCTTACTCAATGAAGCAGGGTCTCCCAACCAAACCCAGAGCTCACTAAAACAGCCAGTCTCGCTGACCAGCTGCTTTGGGCAACCCTTTGTCACTGCCCTCCAAGGCTGGAATTGCAGTCGGGTCACGCCACCCCTGCATTTATGTGGGGTTTTGAGGTTCTGAATTCACACTTGCGTGGCAGGCGCTTAGCTGCTGAGCCCCCCCAACCCTACCCCACCCCAGCCCAGCTTTTTTCTCTTCATCTTTCCTCTGCCAGGTGGCACCAAGTTTTTGTCTTTTTTGGCCTGTGGAACTTATAGTCCTCTCCCTGCCAAATCAAGCCTGTGTACTGCTAGCCACTGACTGACATTTTGTACAGGATACCACTCTTGGCCCCCTTCAAGAGTTCCATCCCTGTTGCTGGGGCCAAGCCTATGGTTTCCTTCATCAGAGGATTTCCCTTGTTCTTTCATATTTGCATTTCTTGCTGGGTGCCCCTGAAGTATCCCCATTGCCCTACCTGCTGCTTGAGTTTCCTCTTCAATAACAGAATGAAATGGGCTACCCAGAAATGCTAACACTCACCAAGCCTTCATCTGAATTTTGTCTCAGAGCAAACAGATTCTGGGAGGTTCTGTGACTTTGGAGAGGGATTTGTGTCCCTTTTTCTTCTGCTTGAGGAGCCTGTTGTCATGTCATGCATCCCAAATGAGAGACAAAAGGCCCATGAGAGTTTTGTCAGATTTGGGTACACACCAGATGCTAGCGTTTGCTAGACCTGGAATCCTGGGGTTGGAAGGAATGAGCAGGCCTAAGATCAGCAGGAAAGGTGTTTTCTGTCAAGCCTGATAACATGAGCTCAATCCCTGGGCCCATATGGTAGGAGAGAACCAAGTCATGAAAGCTGTTCTCTGACCCTCACATGTGCCAATGCTTGTGCATGCAGATGAGCATGCGCGCGCGCAAAGACATATTTAAAAGCAATGTACAGCCGAGCAGTGACGGCACATGCCTTTAATCCCAGAACTTGGGAGGCAGAGGCAAGCGGATCTCTGTGAGTTCAAGGCCAACCTGGTCTACAGAATGAGTTCCAAAGCTACAGAGAAACCCCGTCTCGGTAAAAACCAAACCAAAACAAGCAAAAAATGAACAAAACAAGTCTTCCAGGACTGGAGAAATGGTTCAGTAGTTAAGAGCACCCAGGTTCAATTCCCAGCACCCACATGGTAGTTCACAACTAACTCCAGTTCCAGCGGATCTGACATCCTCACACCAATGTACATTGAATAAAATAATTTTAAAAAACAGAACAGACAGGTTGAGGGCATTCCTAAACTGGATCTTGCCAAAAACAACATATAGAGCTGACTTTCTCCAGTGGAGAAAAGTGCTTGGTTCTAGCTTCATTTCTGCTATCTACACATATCTGCATACTTCTTCCAGTCCCTCAGCTGGATATAAGGGAAATAGAGAGCTTCAGGGAAACGGGTCTGGTGACCAGCCAGAAGGGACCCCCGGGACCCAGGGCTTGTATAGCTATTCCTCCAGATTGAACCACTAGTGTGCTCTTGTAGGAGGAGAGGACATATGGGCTGCTTTCCTCATGATGAGGGCGGGAGCATGCTCCTGTAACCCCAATAAATTCCCTGGGTCACAAAACTGGACTTGAAATTGTTTCTTTGGTCAGGCTACCTTATCAGGGGTGGCTTCCCCCAGAAAAAGGCACATTGAGGCTCTGAGGTCTGAAGAGCTCTGAGAAAGGCCAGAGGACGAGTGGAGGGCCCTCAGGACTGCCGAAGATGTGAAGGTACCGTGGCAAGTAACAGGAATACTGAGGAGCCTGGGACTTGGGTATGGGAGGCCTTGAAGAAGAGGCAGGACTGGAGTGGGAATTCTGAGGGACTGGAGAACTTCTGAGGAGGAACCAGAGTGCTGAGGAACTAGCTGGGGTGGTGAAGGAGGTGGAAGCAGGCAACTGGAGTCAAGGGCATTCTCAACTACTAGTAAATTTGATGTCAGCTAGGAAACAGATGTACTTCAGTTGGTACAGTGTTTGCCTGGTATGCATGAAGGCCTGGATTCCATCCCTACCACCACACAAATAGGACATGAGGCACACACCACATCCTAGCACTTAGGTAGATGCAGAAAAACCAGAAGGTCAAAATCATGCTCCACTAGCAAATTCAGTCAATTTTCATTATATAACAAATGTGAGGACACCCTGGGCTATATGAGACTCTGTCTCAAATTATTTATTTTGAGACAAGGTACTTTGCACATAGCCCTGAACTGAAACTCACTATGTAGAGCAGGCTGGCCTCGAACTCACAAGATCTGCTTCCCTAATGCTGGGATTAAAGGCATGTGCCACTATGCCCAACAACACGTTTTTGAAAAAGTTCTGAGCGAGGGAGGTGTGCAAGTGGGAGAGGTGAGGATGCAGGCCTCTGAGGAAGAAACTCAGAGATGTGTCGGGCTGCCAAACTGGGGGTCAGAGAGGAGGCAGACGCGTTGAAACACCCAAGGGTTGTTGTGGCCTCTGAGGATGGGAGCCATAAAGTGCACCAGACTTAAGCAAATGCAGGCATCGTCGTTACCATGGCAACCCTCCTTCTCAGTGGCAGTTTCTAGCGAGTAGCTGGAAAGGGGGAAACAGTGCCTGGCGCTGAGGGGTGACGGCGCCCGTAGGGAGCGTGTCCAGGGGGAGGGATGCAGAAGAGAATCGCTGTTTTCTAGACAACCCTCAACCGGTTCCTCAGCATCCGTTAAAAAGACTGTTTGAAGCGCGTCACGAGGGAGAGGGCAGTGCTCCGCGCCGATTGGTGAAAGGCGTCTGCAGGGCGTTTCTGCGGGCGGTGCTCAGCGGCGGTTGGCTAGTGGGCGCGAAGGGGCGTGGCATCTAAATCTGCGGCGGTTGGCTGCTGCGCACGCGCGAGGGCTCCTGGCGGGACTGTGCCTCAGCGCTACCCGGCCCATCACCCATGGCCGCCTCGCTGCGCCCCGTGCCGCCGCAGTCCGCCCCGCGCCGCCCAGCGCTCGCAGCTCCCTTGGGCCGTGACACGAGCGACGTCCTGCAGCAGATCATGGTCATCACCGACCAGAGCCTGGACGAGGCCCAGGCCAGGTACGGCGTGCAGGCAAGGAGGGAATGGGCGGAGGCGGGTTGAGGATGGGGACAGGTGCGGCCGACCTTGGAGTGCTGGACAGAGGGAGTGAAGGATGGTTTCGTGAGGAAAGCGGGCGCGGCGTTAAGGGAGTAAGGGCCCAGCCCTGGAACAAGAGACATTAGAAGGATAAGTCATCTGTTATTGGCCGGCCCGAGGACCGCAATTTTGCTAGGCGCACAGTTGAAGAGAAGCTACCGAAGAGATAACTCGGGTGATCTGAAGAAGGACCTTTGAGAACTTTCAGAAACACATACGGGGAGCTGGATGGACCTTAGAGGGCACCCTTCTTCCTACTTCTCACCCTCCTGTTCTTTTCCAAGACAGGGGTTCTCTGTGTCGCCATGGCTGTCCTGGAACTCACTCTATAACAAATTTGTGTTATGGATCTTGGAAGCAACTTCTTTTACCCATGGAGCCATCTTCCAGGCTTAGGTTTCTAGACACTTGGAGTGACTGCAGAATTGCTGCTCCAGAAAGACAGAAGGAAAGGTTTGACAGAAACCCAAAAACTGATTCAATTCTAGGTACCCAAAGGATAACCCAGGAGTCATTATTTATTACCTTTTTTGTTTGTTTCTTTGTTTTCAGAGACAAGGTTTCTCTGTGTAGCCCTGAATAGCCTTGAACTTACATAGAACCTCCTGCTTCTGCCTCCCAAGTGCTGGGTTTAAAGGTTCATGCCACTTTGCCTGCCTTGATTACTATATTTTTAAGACAGGGTTTTGCTGAGTCCAGAAATGACAGATGAGCTGAGTTCCTGGCATCCTCTCTCTGTGTGATGTGCCTACACCCACAGCACCAGGGTCACATCTGTGTGACGTCCCCTGCACCCCTGCACCCACATCGGGGTTACATCTGTGTGACGTCCCCTGCACCCCTGCACCCACACCGGGGTTACATCTGTGTGACGTCCCCTGCACCCCTGCACCCACACCGGGGTTACATCTGTGTGACGTCCCCTGCACCCACACCGGGGTTACATCTGTGTGACGTCCCCTGCACCCCTGCACCCACACCGGGGTTACATCTGTGTGACAGCACTAGGATTACAGACACCATTGTGCTGAGCTTTATTATACAGATGCTAGGGAATCTGAGTTTGACTTTTTTGTATTGTGTTCTTTTTGAGACAGGGTTTCTCTGTAGTTTTGGAGCCTGTCCTGGAACTAGCTCATGTAGACCAGGCTCTCCTCAAACTCATAGAGATCCGCCTGCCTCTGCTTCTGAGTGCTGGGATTAAAGGTGTGTGCCACCATGGCCCAGCCCCTGATTAGACTTCTAATGCTTGCAAGGCATCTTACTAACTGAGCCATCCCTGCAGTCTCTGAAGAAGCCCCTTCTTTATTGGGGAGATGGGGAGTTGGGTCTTAACTGTGTAGATGAGGCTACCCTCAAACTCAGAGATCTACCTGTCTCTGCTTTCTCAGTGCTGGTGGTAAAGACATGTATCTGACTTCAGAATCCATTTTTATTATTTTTTAATTTAAAAATTTAAATATTGTTTTGTTTTAAACATATAAGTATCTTGCCTACAGGTCTTTATATGTACCGCATACATGCCTGGTGTCCAACGAGGTCAGATTCTTTGGTACTGGACTTACAGATGGTTGGGTCCTGGAAACCAAACCCAGGTCTTCAGCAAGAATAACCAATGCTCCTAACCACTAACCATCTTGCCAGCTCTAGGACCCATTTTTAAAATGAACTTGATAAATACTTACTGAACACTTACAATGTGAGGGCACTGTCCCGGGGGCTGGAGTAGTCCTTGCTTCCTCCCTTATGAGCTTGGGGTTTGGGACAGAGAAAGAAAGTGGAAAAATACACACATATATAAATTGTGGCTAAGCTATAAGGAAAAGACTGGCATGCTAAGTGGAGAAGGGGCACTGTCTCCAGAGACTCCAGTAGCCTAGAGAAAGACATTCCCAACCACAAAGGGAGAAAGCTTGGAGCGTCGAGTTTGGAGAAACGTGAAGCCTGCTTCTACAGTCCCACAGAGTCTGCACTCTCAGGACAGAGTTAAGATTTCATTCTGCTTTTCTTTTTCTTTTGTTATAAAGTTTGTTTGTTTTTTGAGACAGAATTTCTCTTTGTAGCCCTGGCTGTCCTGACATAACTGGCCTTGAATTCAGATCCACTGCCTCTGCCTCCCAAGGAATGAGATTCAAGGCGTGTGCCACCACTGCCCAGCTAAAGAATTTTTGATTTGTGGGGCTGGAGAGATGGCTCAGAGGTTAAGAGCATTGCCTGCTCTTCCAAAGGTCCTGAGTTCAATTCCCAGCAACCACATGGTGGCTCACAACCATCTGTAATGGGGTCTGGTGCCCTCTTTTGGCCTGTAGGCATACACATAGACAGAATATTGTATACATAATAAATAAATAAATATTTAAAAAAAAGAATTTTTGATTTGTGTGTAGGAGTATTTTGCCTGCATGAATGTGTGTGTACCAAATATATGGCTGGTGCCCATAGAAATTAGAAGAGGGCATTGGGACCCCTGAAAGTGCAGTCACAGGTGGTTGTGAGGTGCCATGTGGGTGCTAAGAATGGAACCCGGATGCTCTGCAAGAGCAGCAGCCTGTGTCCTTCAACACAGTCATCTCTCCAGCCACCACTCCACTCTCAGTAGGAGAAAAGATCAAAGCACAATTTTTGTTTGTTGTTTTTTGAGACAGGGTTTTTCTGTGAAACAGCTCTGAACTCACTCTGTAGACCAGACTGGTCTCAAACTTACAGAGATCCTCTGCCTCTGCCTTCCAAGTGCTGGGATTCAAGGCGTGCGCCACCACACCCAGCATTCAAAGCAGTTTTAAGACCACCTGTTCACACCAGTGTCAGCCGACCAGGACTGTGGGAATCTGCTTTAGAAGGCAGTCTACCGCGTCAGCACCTACTGAGATGGTCACACAGTAGGAAAGGCTGGGTTTCTTCTGGAGCATGAGTGTGTATTAAAAGGGTCTGTTTTGAGGTGAGGGCAGTTCCTTAGGGTCTGACAATTGTGCTCTATCTCTGCAGTGAGACCAGTTTACTAAGGAGAAGAACAAGAGCTCCCTTAGAGCCGGGAGTGCAGCACAGACGCTAGAGCACACACCTCCAGTGCACATGCAGGGAGCCCCGGCTTTGCATAGCGCTCCTTGGTTACTTATTGAGGCCAGTCTGAAATACCTGAGACCTTGCCCACCCCACTTCTGTTGAACTCAGGGTTTTGTACTCCTGCTAGGCAAATTCAAACTTTTCCCTAGCTCTGTGTGGAATGCTGACTCTTTAGTTTTATAGCCTCTCTCTGGAAAGTTAGGAATGCTGGCCTGCCTCCAACTCTTTCCAGTCCACTTTAAAAATGTATGTTTTATTAGGGTGTGTGTGGTGTGTGTGTACACCCACACTGCGCTGTTCTTACAGCACCTCCGTCTTCAAAGGATCCTATGTGTTCTTCTGTCCTCTGTGCACCTGCATACTTGAACACCTACTCCACACAGAAATAAAACAAATCTAGAATACAGAGAAGTTGTGTGGAGGTCATATGCAAATGCTACAGTATCTTGCCTGAGGGAGTTGAGCACCTGCCCGTGGGATGCCAAGGGACAAAAGACTATATAGCCTTGACTACAGCTTGTCAGCCCAGGAGTACGCAACCAACTGCATCCCTGCTGATCTGCTGACTGGAACTAGACTTTGCAAGTCTTTCTGAACCAGCTAGTCTCTCAGAGTGTCTCTGTCTCTATCATAGCTCCAAGGTCAGTTTAGCTGAACTGTCCATCAAGAACTTTTCATCCCCACGTAAGGCTTCTCATCTTTATTATGCTATCAACTGTGTATAGAGAAAGGAAAATGGGGATTGGTGAGATGACTCGACAGGTAAAGGCACTTGCTTCTAAGCCTCATGACCTGAGTTGAATCCCTGGCACCCATTCCCCCAGGTTAACTTCTAGCTTCCACACATGCACACACAAGTGCACTAAATAAAAACTGTTTAAAATTTAATGATATTGCCACTAAAAAAGTCAAGGAAGCTCCTGATTTACTAGAAGGTGAAGCTAAAAAAATGAAGTGGAGGCTGGAGAGATGGCTCAGGGGTTAAGAACACATGCTGCTTTTGTTGTTGTTGTTGTTGTTGTTTGTTTTTCGAGACAGGGTTTCTCTGTATTTTTGGAGCCTGTCCTGGAACTAGCTCTTGTAGACCAGGCTGGTCTCGAACTCACAGAGATCTGCCTGCCTCTGCCTCCCGAGTGCTGGGATTAAAGGCGTGTGCCACCACCGCCTGGCCACATGCTGCTCTTGTAGAGGACCTGGGTTCAGTTCCCAGCACCCACATGGTAACTCAATCATTCAAAACTAAGCTCCAAGGAATCCAGCCCCTTCCAACCTCCATGGACACTAGGCATAGATTCATGCGTAGACACTGGGGGAACACCTATACACATAAAAATAAAGCCAAAAGCATTTTTAAATGACATGTGTGTAATGAATTTTAAGTTTACACTGGTCTGTGTGTATGAGTACAATTTGTGTAACAAATGCCTTAGAGCTACACTTGTGAAAGGACGGAAGGAAGGAGGGAGGTTGTAGGTGTTAACTGACAATGACCCGTTCATAGCTTCTGCTGAATGGGCTCCACTGGCCGGCTTGGCTGGTGGCTCCTCCCAACACGTGTGCCTGGACGGCCTCTTCCATAGAAGACTGTCCTCCTGTCGCCAAGGGTATTTGTAGAACACAGGCCAGACACAGCAGAGTGAGGGACGCGACAGGGGAAGACAGGAAAGTGACTTTTCTTATCTAAAGCAGATTCTTTCTTTCCAGGGCGAGGTGGGGTCTGGTTTTCTGTCTGGTTTTACATTCTTTCATTTACCTTGTGTATGTGTGTGAGCACACACTTGCTTATGGAGGTAAAAGACACCTTGCTTGAGTCGCTTCTCTCTTCAGTGTGAGTACCGGGAGTCAACTGGGACTCTCA